CCTACACATTTCATTGCTCCTTATGTTACTTTCGTTCAAGCAAACGCTCGGTTGCCTCTGTTAACCGCTATTGCGAAATGTAGGAATTGACAGAGACCGCCGCCATTTCGTTCCCGCTTCAGATTTTTGAATGTTAATATCTCGAGTTTGAATTTATAAATTTACAAACGAATTATATATTCAGCCTAATAAGAAATGTTTCTATCAGCTATACAAGTATAATTTGAAAATATTGAAAAACAAAAAAGTTAAAGACGAGAGACTTTTGGCCCCTCTATGCCCCTAATTTGAAGGACTAACCCCGTTTACTTGATATCAAATGAAAGGTCTTACTATATTGCACATTTTTTATTATATATGTCTTAACAAAATATTAACAGGTAAAAAGATATAAAAGAAAACGTGTCAATTTTTGCGAGATGAGTATGAGGCTATTTTTCGATCCCAGGCGAGCGTCGATGCCTTTTTACCTGGAAAGCTCTATATGCAAAATGTCACATCTACTATCCTTCCTCTACCTTCACTGAAAATCTCAAGTCGATATCTTAAGTCGTTTAGGAGGAGATCTCAGGACAAGCCGACCCTCTAAAAATCAGAAAATCATCCATATCTCACGACCGGAAGTGACGACGTACTTACGAAAAATTTCCGACAAGGTTCAGATAAATATCTATCAGATCTGAAAATTTGGTGAGAATCGTTTCAGCCGTTTCTGAGAAATCGTGTGCACAAAATCGGTAAGAAAAAAAATAATAACTAGGAGACTTATTGTTCACAGAACAATAAGAGGTCTTTCCACCTTCTTTGAATTTTAAATTTGTTTTATATCGGACTACTAAAAATTAAATTCCAAGCAAAAGAAACCAAAACTCCCTTAAAGCATAGAAAAAATGAAAATTTAAAAAAAAAATGAATGACCTTGACCTTTGACCTTGAAAAAATATTCAAGGTCAAAGGTCAAGGGACACAATGCAGTTGTCCCCATGCCTCTATGATTTATACTTCTCAAGTTATAAGGTTTAATAGTAAGTACAAAAAACTTAAAGGGCAATAACTCATATAAGGGGTCATCAGATCCATTTGCACTTATACAGTGAAGTTAGGCCTAAAGACCCTTATGACATTAGTGAAGTTTTGGTGTCTCTACAGTCTACGGATTTGGAGGAGTAGCGATAACAAGGTTTTCTGCACAAGGGGCAATAACTTTTTCAAGGGTTAATATTAGGGGACAAGAGTGAAATCTTTGAAACAGTTTTAAGAGTACATATTAATGATGCATAGACATTAAGTATATGTTTAAAGACAAAAGAGATATAAAAAGAGCTAAATTTCTCATTTTTGGAATGACCTTGACCTTTGACCTTTACATGAATTTGAATGTCAAAGGTCAATAAATCATATGCAGTTGGTCCCATGTCTCTACGACTTGTTATTTTGAAAATTTTTAATTTTTTGTTAAATTTAAAAAGTTTCAGGGGCAATAACTCATTGAAGGGGTCACCGAATGCTTTCGCAATGAATAGATTGAAGAGTCCCCTTAATTAGTCGAAGACATTGGTGAAGGTTTCATACCTCTACGGTTTACGGTTTCAGAGGAGTAGCGATAACAAGCAATTCTTGCAAAAGGGGCAATAACTTCGAAAGGGGTCAAGGTTCATTTACGCAGGGTGAACTGCAATAATCTTTTACGGAGTACATTCTTATGGACTATAAATCTTTTCGATAAATCTTGAAACAAAAAATCACACGGCGGAAAAATACTAATAATGGAAAAGAAGAAACAGAAGGAAATCAATAGGTCTTTCCACAGAAAGGTGGAAAGACCTAATAATAATAATAATAATAATAGGGAAAAAGAAACCGAACGAAAACAATAAGGTCTTCCGTTGGAGACGGAAGACCTTAATAATAATAATAATAATAATAATAATAAGAAACAGAGTAAAAACAATATGTTCCCCAACTTCGTTTGGGGAACATAATTCATTATACCTGACAGCCAAAATGTTTGCGATTTGCAAGTCGAACACATGTAGTGTCCGTCCCTAACAAAAAAAAATACTACAGTTAACTATAGTAAACTATAGTAACTTAAAACTTTGATTTACTATAGTGATAACTTTGAAACTTTAAAAGACTTTGTTGAAAACTTTGACACTCTGAAAAACTTTCGCAAAAACTTTGAAACTTTAATTTATTATATTTAACTATACAGTGGACCTTCAGATATCCGGACGCCAGATATCCGGATGCTTCAGTATCCGGACGATTTTTCATCGGAACGAAATGTTAAAATGTTATTCTGTCTTGTTTAACTGGTGATTCAGATATCCGGATGCTTCACATATCAGGACAAATTGACTGGGAACCAAAGCGTCCGGATAAATGAGGGTCCACTGTAGTAAACTATAGTTAACTATAGTTTTTTTGTTAGGGGTATAACCTTCAATAGTTTCATATACATGCCGCTCCCTCTGTGTTGACACATTGACATAATTTGGCCTTCAAAATATATAAAAATCTCTTTGGTATATTTAAGATATAATAATAAGCAATTTTAAGCATCTTGTATTACGACGTGTTCATGTATCCAAAACATAGAAGTATTTCAATCTCACCCTTTATGATGGGAATCTGAAATATTAAAAAAAATGCTAGAATAGTTTAAATCAATAGATACATGGATTTTGAACATCTTGAATAATACTAAAATTCAATAGTTTGAATAGATTAAAGATGAAATGGTGTTGTTGTACAACACCATTTCATATCTAATCTACAACATAAACATAAGCATGAAAACATGAAAAATTGGTATATGAAAAGATCTTTCACAGGGGGATAGACCGATGCATATGTACAAAACCAACAATTACCTACTCTGAAGTTATCTTCTGAAGTTATCTCGGATGGCATTCGTAATTCGTAACAGCACGGATATTTTTCAGGAGAGAAAAAACAACATGACAACAGACGTGACCGAGTATTTACGACTGTTTCCAAGGGAGTAAAATGAATAATTTTTGTTCATGTAATTAGGTCTTAAGGATAACTCCCGGTCAAGGTTTTGTTACTCCCTTTTTGCTATAATCAGCTAACTCACACTGCATGAAAAGTGGCGTTTAATATAATTTAATAAATTCGTTTACTCCAGTAAATTTCTTGTATTAAATTTAATTTATGTATAACGGTACATTTTACATGAGATATATTGTGATATAATTAAGTACAGTTTTCAATATAGGATTAAACGTTCTTTTTGAAAAATTTATCGATGTGTAAACTCTTGACATTTTACTCACAAACTAAATAAAAGTGCGAAGCACTTTTATGTTAAGTTTGTGAGTAAAATGTCAAGAGTTTACACATCGATAAATTTTTCAAAAAGAACGTTTAATTCTTATAATTCCAATATCGAATTTTTAAAAATATTTAAATTATTTCTCTTTGAGGCCTCCATACAATCCGTTATTTCTGGACGGCGTAGGAATACATTTTACCGTAAAGGAACGTAATCGAGATGAATTTCGATAGAGTTCAACTTGAATTGTCAAAACAATCGATAAATAAACTTATAACAACTAATCGAATGTTGTTTAAGTCAACAAATATCGTAATTACGAGTTTACTTCAGAATATATAGTTCGTCTTTGACCATGGCCATGTTGACATAAACAACAACTCTCATAGCGAAAGTCGAAGACCGACGACGCCTTCAATTTGCACTTGTTTATTCAAATATTGAGGAACAATATAGAAAGTAAATATGAATTTGATGCTTATAGGGCAAGAGTTTGAGGTACGTTTCTTTTCCCTGTCAAAACGATACAGACTGAGCTTATTTTCTACGTATGAACGTTGAGACAGCGATTTTTAAATTTCACACTCGTGATCGGACAGTGACATAAACATTTTCACGGCGTCCATCAGTTAGGCAGTCTAGTATGTTGCCAGTTTTGTTTAAGCCCTGAATTAAATTTAAAGTTTCTTGTATTCATTATTTAGCCAGAACAGACCCAGAAATAACTGCTTTCATTGTTTATACGATAACCTAGTAGTGTCATCAAGAAAGTAGTTCTGATTGAAAGAATTTATCGATGTGTAAAAATTTTCTGGAACGTGTTCTCATCCAATCAAAACACAGGAAATCAATAGATAAATTGAAGATTGGAATTATATAAGTATAATCACATTTAATGCATAATACGTCGAAAATAATTTAGTTTAATTGAGAAAATTATACGTTTCGTTTAAGAATATCGACATGTTAAAGTAAATATGCTTATACTTAAAGTTTAAGTACATTTTTGGTATTTTCAATATTTCATAAATAATTCTTTATACGTAATGTAAACTTAATTTAAAACATTTTTGAAAAAAAACATTTAGGCACCCTATTAATTTAATTTATTCATTCCTCATTTTTATTTATTTAGACCTTATATAGATTTTTTAAAAAATGTCGAATATAAGTTTCATTTTATAAGTTTTTTTCTCTATGATCGACTACTACTGTAGTACAATTACATCGGGATCGAAGTCGGGCTCGAAAAGCAATTAATTAAAAAACAACACACCGCGCCGAAATTCAATTTCTTGGAGAGTTCCACGCAGCCATGTTGAACTTGATCATGATGTTGTACGGGGCAAAAGAGAGTGACACGAAAAGGAGAAGCATCATTAACTTTGGGTGTAATTTCTGTTTTTAACAGAAGATGAAGACATTTACGACCATGTTTAGCGGTAGGAACAATATACAAAATTTTATCATGTGTCCTTGAATGAATAATTGCCTCTGCTACTGATAATGTTACTGTTCCTTGGTTTTGGCACTACACATAAAATGCTTGCCAGTAAAAACGTTTGGGCAAGCGCTATTTGAATTTTGTAATAATTATTTAACCCTTTAATTAAAGATGGATTTTAACCAGAATTTTCTCGTTTGGTATTTGTTTCAGAATTTAAGTCACTAAAGTGTTCCTCTGTTCAGTATTTACTGAGTATGTTGTACAATGTAATAAAATATTTATTTATTTCTTATGCATACTCAAGAATTCAGCACTTATTTTGATTATTTAAATAGTTGCAGTGGACTGTGCCTGAGACGTTTCCCCACATCGCCGGCTATGTAGACAGCTTGTGAAAATGGTGAGAACCATGCAGCTCAAATTTCAATTAACACAAATAAACTAATAATGTTTTCATCAACCTGTATCTTGAAGCATAAGACTATAAAAAATATTGCAACAACTTGAAATGCTATATATAGTACCAAGTAAACAAGATGAAGTTTATATTCTTATTTTCCTTATCCTAAAAATACAATAGCAATGGATTCTGAGCTACATGTATGCATAATTTTTTTACGTTAAATACTTAAGGAATGTTTTTAAGTTTTGTGTGAGTTATTGGTGTGTGAATCACACAGATTTGTCACGTAGGCATATTTCATGAAGCGCGCTAGCGCTTCCTGAAAAATATGCCTATGTGCAAGTCTGTGTGATTCACATACCAATAATTCACACTAAACTGAAAAACATTCCTTATATTTACATTTTACCTGTTTGGAGGCAACCAAAATATACTCAATATTCGAGTTTCTCGCTGTGCTATATTATTGCATTTTACTAACGTCACTGCATTCTCATTGTGACGTCACGTTAACGCACGTTTCTCCGTGTATATTTCTACGCGTGAGTATACACGAAAATGTTTTTTTCAAATCGTTTTCACAGTAAGCTTACTAGAAAAACACAGCGAATGTAAATATTTAAGCATGAATTATTAAAAATAGCTATCATATTCTATAACCCACAATTATGCATGCATTATTTACAGGAATCCAAATGATCACAAGAAATGACAAAAGCAGTATGAAGAAAGATTTCTAAAATTTTCTGATAAGATCAATAAAATCAGATGAATTGATTGTTTAGCTCACCTGAGCCATTTTAAGACCCGAACGAGTTTTCTTATCTGTGTCTTTTATTTGTCTGTCATCTATAAACTTTTAAAATTTTTACATTAATCCTAGTTTGAACAAACAACCCTGCAAGATACATCTTTTCTTTCAGATATTGTGCCAGAAAAGTTTGAAGTAGCTATGGGAATGATCAACATTCAACTTGCTGAGCCTTCCTTCTGAAAGTGACTTGACCAGATATTTGGCTACCCAGTATGAGGTACGAACTAATCATTTGTTGTACGACTTATTGTGTATGAGATTGCCACCATTTACTAGAACATTGCATTCGCTGTCCACTTTAAAAACCTGCTATCTACAGTGTAATTTGTTAAATTAAATATATTTTACTTTAGGCCTATATTAAATCACTTGCTCATTATCCCATTAACTTGCATGTTAAATGCTGTAGATGCTACCCTTTGCATTTTTGTTTACTCTCATGTGTTCCGAGAATGTACATCCATTTCATATCATGCTTTGTCGTCTCTAAATTTAATCTAATACATATCATAATATGCATATGTTTTTGAAATAATTCGCTGAACTGGATCACAAAGATTAAAGATTTTATCATTGTATGAATGTTATCTACTTGCTCAAACCATAAATACATCTGTTTGTATATTTTTTCTACGAGATGCCATACCTGCTTTTAATTTTTCATATTTTTTTTATCCATAGTATCTTTCTGCTACATTAAATAAAATATTGTGGAGGAACACAAAGAAAAGGGCTGTGCATCTCAACATTTTCAAGGTCAAGCAGGTAAATACATTGGTAAATTGCTAAAAAAAAATGGCAAAAAGTCACCAGTCCCCAATTTACATGTACTTCCACAAAATCTGTAGCTTGATGCTGTGAAACTATATATACGTATGTCTTAATATATTAAATGCTGTTAGTGTTATTCTTTTCATTTTCGTAAACTTTGTAAATCTTCAAATTTCATGTGTTCGGACTACAGTACCGTTATGTATGTTTCATATCATATTTTGTCATCTATAAATTTGATCAATACATAAAATTAGATGGATTTTTTATGTAATTCACTTACCTTGATGACACAGAGAATTTTTTTCCTTGTGTAAAATGTTATCTTCTTGCTTTAGTCATAAGTATACCCTATTTGTATATTTTTTCTCCTTTTTTGTATATTCTTTCTACGGAGAGCCATACCTGTTATTAATTTTTCATATTTTTTTTGTGACAGCTTTTTACCATATCCATAGTATCTTGCTGCTAAATGAAAGAATTATTGTGGAAGAGCAGAGAAAAGAACACTTCAACATGTTCAAGGTCAAGCAGGTAAACATAGTAATAAAATGCTTCAAAAACAAAAAAGATGGCGAAAAAATCATTAGTCCCCAATTTACATGTATAGCAACATTAGCTTCATAATCTGTAGCTTGCTTGCCTGAAATTATAGATAATTATCTGTATTTATTACCCAGACTTGAAAAAATGGCATATCTTTTGTGGTCTTCTGTAATTTTTTTAATTAATCAAAATTGAGCTGTGTTTCCTCTAGGTCAATTGATAATTTTACAATCAACTCAGATTTTGTGTACTATTTAATATATGCAATTGCATAAATCCGGAAGCACTCATATAATATGTATATATAGGCAAATGGGTATTTATTTTTATGTTTGTTGTAGAAATTAGGAGCTAGATGTGCTTTTCCAGAGCTGAAAACTTCTTGGCATGAAGAGAAGAAAAAGCAAGAAGCAGTTTTAAATATTGATTACATCTTCATAGTACAAATTAGAAAACTGAAGTTGCGTTCTGATGAATGTGAGAAAGTCTTCAAAGAACAGGACACCAAATGTGCAACTCTCAAATCAAAGCACTCTACAAGGCAGAGCATAAGGAGAACTAGGACAAATAAAGAATCTAAAAGAGTCAACCCTATGGATGTAGTAATTGAACAGAGATGGGCTATTAGAGATGAAATATCTGAGTTGCTACTTTTTTGCACAAATGTGATGCTTGTTTTACTTATCTTTAATTTACACATTCAATGTTAGATAAGAAAAAAAATATACCTAGTGTTGTACATTTGTATTTTTGACAGCGAAATTTGATTTTTTTATCTGATGCTTGATTACAGATTGAAACTGTTATGTTTTTTATTGTTTAAACATTTATTGGTTTGTTGTGTAGTATGCAATCATATACACTTTTATCTTGATTTATATATTACATATATGTACAAGTCTGACTTAAATAATAAGTGCATGGACATTATTGTGGAAAAAATAAGACAATCAAGGGTAGTCTGAAAGATCTTTGCTGGCAGTAAGTTGCAGATCTTGATACCCAAGTAAGGGAAGGGTGGCGTCTCTGACCGATCCTTTTGCTGTTGCTTGTGGGCGAGTGAGGCTTCTCTGTCAGTAGCTTAGTGAGTCATAGATGTAAAAAATAGAATAAGCAAATGAGGTAAAGACATTTCTGAGTAAAAAAGGGGTGAATTGTGATGTTAATAAATATTACAATTGATATTGAAAGAGTAATGAGAATTGCAAGAGTAAAACATTAATTTGTTTCCTTCCAGTTGAAGTAAGAGAGTTTATGAAGAGAATCTTTTCCATTAAAATGGAATTGTATTTAAGGCTTAAAAAAATTTGTTAGATATACTTGTACATATTTTAATACAGGACTTTTATATGTGCATGTTTCAGAGCTCACTCTTGATATTTTAAGGCAAGTTAAAAATATCACTATTGAAATGTCTTGCATTCCAATGTAAAGTTGATTTAATGATGATATGTTAAATTACAATCATCAAGCAATAAACCTAGCAGTTGGAACAGAAATGAGCTACATGTATTGGAAACAATTTTAAGCTGCTATTGTTATGTGTAAATGTGATATTTTTTACTCAATTTGAATTGACATAACCAAATGATATGAAAGATTTTTGGGGTGTTGTATTTTTCAGTCAATATTAAGTATTTTACAAGTCAAACTTGAATAATTAGTGCATGGACATCTACTGTGGAAATACTTGGAAAACAATATTAGGGTGTGCTGAAAGAGCTTTGCTGGCAGTAAGTTGCAGATCTTGATACCCAAGTAAGAGAAAGGTGGTGTCTCTGACCGATCCTTTTGCTGTTGCTTGTGGGCGAGTGAGGCTTCTCTGTCAGTGGCTTAGTGTGCCTTATTAAATGTACATGTAAAACGAATGGGCAACTTTTATTGGCAACTTTTATTCTTTTTATGCAAAGTATGATATAATTTATTATGGGAAATTGAAAAGCCATTTTCAACCCATGCAGCACTTTTAATAGGGGCCGTTTCAGTCAGATTTTGTAGTCTTTTGGACTCCAGAATTACTACATTTTTGACCTGTTGTGTTCTTATTTATTGCGGATTTGAATTTTACATACAATTCTATTCTTATATTAAATTATTTATAATTACTTCAGTATATTACTTACTACTAGTATGTAGAAATTTACTCCATTACAATTGAGCTACAATCATGATTGTAATTTTTTAAATTCTTACTTTTAGGCATAAATTTGAAATATCTTGTACTGTGTTAGAACTCATTGTTTGTAGACTATTGAGATAACATCTAATAAAACTGAATGAGAAATGCATTTGTGTATGATTGTAAAATACTTGCCAAAAAACCCACAATTGTAAACCATACAAAGTATTGATGGAATAAATATAAAATAAAAATATTATGCAATAATATAATAATATTAAATTTCATCAAATACAACCTTAAATCTTAATGATATGGGAAGGTTTAATCCGTACATTTTCATCACTTATACACGAGATTTAATATTAGTTTATGAAAGATTAAAATTTGAACGTATTAGTAAGTTTACAATTTTCCGTATATAACGTAATTTTTGGAAGTATTATAAAGTAAAGTGTGAATTTAACAAAAAATAATGACGTAAAAGTCTGTGTTAAATTTTATTAAACGAACAAATTTAATATGACCATAAAACTTTATTTTATGGCCATGTTTAATAATAATTATACGTTTTGTATCTTGGAGGTATTATACTTGTTTACGGCAGACTTAAATCCGAACGTATTAGTAAGTTTACAATTTTCCAAACTTTATTAAATTTGTTCTTTAAATTTTTTATTAAACTCGTATTAAATGCTAATTATTTTTTAACATTTACGATCCCACAATATGTTATATTATGCATTTAAACATTAAATAATCGCAGCATTTAAATCGCATTTAAGGTAAAATTAAACCCGACTTTTCATGCAGTGTCATGGTCGGGAAAACCGGGAAAATCCGACGTCAATTCAGTGTATAAATAATGGACTAGCAATAAGTGTGAAAAACGTCAGTCAGCATTTAACTCAATGCATTTAGCTATTATTTTTTTTTATATTTGTTATTAATTGCAATTTACATGTACCTGAGACAACATGCCTTTTTATGTCCGAACGAAACCAATATTACAATGAAAATCCCCCAGTTATAAATGTTTCTCTCGTCTTTGGAGTTAAAATTATGTTTAATTCATAACCGTCTTCCAATATTATCTCACATTCTTCGTTTGTTCGCTCACTCTGTCAATAGAGTTCAAATTGTGTAATCTCAGTATATGGCGCAGAATTATATCTTAGTCAGTTAATTCAGATATTTAGGTTTTTGTGCAGCAGAATGAATCAGAAACCCTTGAGGTGGGTAGATTAATACGTATCATTACATGCAACGTGGAAATCATTTTTTTTATTACGACAGGAAAATTAAAACTCAAACAGATTCAAATATTTATAATACTATTTTTCCCGGTATAGTTAAACAATAACTACATGCAACATGGACGTATTATGCAGATGAACTAAAATGCACAGTTGAGATCTTTTTTATTACAACAGGAAGATTAAAACTCTAAATAGATTCATATATCTATGCTACCATTTCTTCCGGGATAATTAAACAATTATATATTTTCTTTTGTTGATGCATCTACAGTGCCGATTATTCAGAACATATCACAGGAATTAGAAAGACTGTTTTCGGTCAATAATTCACAATCTACTAAAAAAGCAATCCCTATCTATATTTTATAGTTGATTGCAATCACAAATGCCTTTTGAATTTGATTGCAGTATTACTTCTTGATAAAAATAAGCAATAATTTTGATTTTACAATTCTAGCTTATATAATCATTTATGTCGAAAGTAAACATTAATTATTCTGATGTGAAATGTGTCTATCATTTTATTCATTAACCACCTCTTCATTATCTTTGAAGATAAATATTTATTTGAAGAGAAGTTTATATTTTAGACCATGTAATCCAAGGTTCGAGGGTATGTGGTTTTTGTCCTGTCTGTCTATTTGTATGTTAGTTTGTTTCTATGTTTGTCCGCAAAAACTTTGCCCGTTATGTTTGATAGATTGAAACAATGACTTTCATTTTTTGCACATGTGTATTCCTTGAGACAAGAACCCACTTTGGGAACCAATATATTTGACCTCTTGTCCTTGGAGTTTTGCCAATTCTATCAAACTTCAACCTAGGCCATAACCTTTGTACAGTTAGTTCAAAGGCTTTCATTACTCATAGGTGTATTTCTTCTGACGAGACCTTCCTCTTCTTAAAACGAAGACTTAAACCAATGTTATAACTTTTGAATTGTTGATGAAAGGGCTTTCATATCTCATAGGTGTATTTCGTGTGACAAAACTTCCCATTGGATACCAACATATACCGTTATGACTTTATGACCTTGACTTTTACCTTCCCTTAAAAAAACATTCACTTTGTCCATTACTTCTGAAAGGTTGGTGATATGGCTTTTGTATTTCACAAGTACATTTCTTGATATAGAGCCTTATCTTTGGGCACCATTAATTTTGACCATTGCCATTGACCTTAATATAAAAACAACGTTTTTAAAACTTTAATTTTCGCCATAACATATTAATGTTTGGAGCTAGGATTTTCACATTTCCCAGTTATTCTCCCTGTGACATGATTTTTCTTTGCCTAACATTTTTTTATCTTTTGACCATAGTGTTTGAATTGCAATTTAGAAACTTTAACCTTCGTCATGAGCTGACAAATAGGGGTATCAGTTTTTCATAAATACGTCTTGTTCATATATCAAAGACAAAATTTAACGTGCATCATAGCACACCACTTGAATTTTAGAAGCATATTAAATCCTAAATGACGGAAGGGTGTTCAACACACTCACGCATAATAGTCTAATTTTTATCTTTAAGTGCACATTTGTTCAACTTCCTTGTTTATACGTGTACTAATAAATGAATATACTGTCTATACAAGTCAGTTTAACTTCTATTCATTTTAGAGAAAAATAAGTAAATGAAGATAAGGGATAAAACGTTCGTACTTGTGTGCTTTTCCTTAGTGATGTTCAATGGTTGGTAGGCCTTTTTTAATTATTTATTATCTAATTTTAAAAAAAATCATTTTGAGATAAGAATTCTTAATTGAGCACTCTTTATTTATAGTGTTTTTCACATGTAGCAAAAAATAAACAAAAAATCAAAGCAAAGTCTTTAAATTAGAAAACGATGTACATTGTAACTTTTTAAAGAAAATTAAAAGCACATCAATGATAAAAAAAAATCCAAGTCATATATATCATAAAGGTATTTAGAATAAATTTATGATTGGTATATATACAACGTACTTATTCACAATGGAATTTTATAGGCCTTCACTGAATGATATGTACAAGCTA